TTGAAATCACTGTGTCTCAAACATAATGTTCCTAAACCTTGAAATCACTGTGTCTCAAACATAATGTTCCTAAACCTTGAAATCACTGTGTTTCAAACATAATGTTCCTAAACATTATATGGAGCTGCTAATAATCACAGCATACTCGTAGAAGAAAAAATTATGTAACAGTAGTGTTAGTATGAGAGATTAAGAACCAAGTCTCATCTTTCAGGCTACATAATTTTCATTACAGATATCCCTGATGATGGTGATGATAACCAAATGGAAGATCAGGAAGCTGACCCTGTGACCTCATCCTTGCTGACCAGTACAGCTGCAACAGTACCAGTCTTCACCAATCATCCGGACACTAGTATCTCGTTATCAACTGCTCCTCTCATGGTAGTACCTGAGGTGACTGTATCTGCTCCGCCTACAGTCCAGGTGACCTCAGAAGTTCGTCCACTCCTTCCTCGTATTCCCATGAGAACAGAAAGGCTACCTTCAATAGGAAGACAGACTTTTAATGTCTTTAGTGTTTCTGTAAGTGAGAGAAAAAATTAGTGTAGCTCCATGATTAGATATTTAAATTATGTATCGTCACTGTAGTAAAATGTTGAGGGATGTAATACTTGCTTCATTTTCAAATCATAATATTTATGTACATGTTGAAATGTCCTCTGTCTTCAGCTGCTTTGCTTCCACTAGAGAAATTGTCGCTTACTGTCCAGAGAGTCACACAATACTTCCAACAGTGCCATTTCATTCTCTTTATAACTTATTATCCCCTTTTTTTTCTTTTATTTGGAACTTCTAAAAACATTCCAGATGACTTTTTTTTACTTTTATCCATTTTTCTTAGACTAAAGAACAGAAATCAATGAAAAGTGAATCATAGTATAGTAATAAGTTACCTAAAAACACCAAATTTGTTATTTTTCTTTAAATGGACACTCAACTTTCGCTGTACATCTTCTTCAGGAGCGTTCCACAAGAGGAACTCATGTTTCAGTGGAATACTTCTGAAGAAGTTGTCAAGTCAAACTGAGTGTTCAGTTAAAGAAAAATAACAGATTTTGTTGTTATAAGATAGTTTATTTCTAGTATTAAAATGTCTTGTATACACTAATGTGTACTACAGAAATTAAATAATCGTAACATCAACACCAACCCAAAGATGTAAAGATGTTCCTGACTTCATTATTTCACTGTTTCTAGCCAAAAAGAATGATAAATGCAAGAGAAACGTTTGTGCACATGTAAAGATGTAGCTTGAGCTTGTTGATGCAGTGCTTGCATTTCATATACTTTGGTTGAGTCCATTATGATGCAACATTTGTAGCGTGCAGTCTCAAAATGTTGGTACAATATACGTATGTTCAATATAAGCCTTATCACCCCAAAGAGCATAACTCGTATTGTCATACTCTTGCTGTAATTTTAAGAACTTGTTAGTAAACACAGTAAATGATGAACATAAGTTGTGTACGATTACCTTCCTCCTTCTGGCAGTCAATAGGAACTTAATCCTTCCTTCCTTTTGTTTGATTATATCGGAAGAAATGGTTAACCAGTTGCTATAAAGTTGGATAACTCGTGTAGCTTAATGCAGACGTGGGCTTTTTCCATGATTTCACAGAATTCTGGGAATTTTAGTTGTTGTGGAATAATGTTCTCATATACGATAGCCATTCTAACAGTTTTATTTTTTGGGATTATGTGTACTGTTACTAGGTTTAGCTTGTGTGATAAATATTAATGAGGTAGTAATCGTAGCTGGGAATCTCCGTTTGGATACACCGTGTATCTTCCTTCGTGTAACTATGATGATTGAGTTCTAAGGGCTTTAAACATTTTCAAAAACACAGATGAGCCAGTTAGAACATAGATCACAACTGGGAGTTCATTCTGGTGACCAGTCAGCTGTTTTTGTCAACAGATGTGTTTTCATTGCTGGTTGCCTGAATGCTGGGATGTTTTGCCATGTGATGGGTTTCCCAAACTGATTCCATTTTTGTTCTTTTGAACATGCAATTCCAGCCCACTGGTGCAAAGATTAACTGTTAAATGCCTCGATGCACTACTGAATGGCAACATAAATACGAACAATTAGCTCCGTGCCAACCTAGGTTGTTGAGGAGAAAGATGCAAACTTGGTGTGCAGGAAATATGTGAATCAGTAAAGAACAACTGGCTTAGCTCGAAAAAAATGTAGTCATTGATATAAAAAGAATATTGCCTGAATTGCAGTGGAAGGGCAGTTCAGTTGAGAGCATTTTGGGTGACTTCATCAAAAAGGTATATCTATAAAATAAAAGCTTGCTTATAAGCCATAGATTTAGATTTACTGCAGGCCTAGGTGCAATAATCCATATTGTATTACTAGTATTAGCAATGCATCATGCTTTAAGCTTATCATAAATCTCTAGGCCTAGGTCCGTTGGATTCATCTAATTTCTAAAATTAGCCCTAATGTCAATGAATTAGGCACAATTAGTCAGTGTATTCCCATATTGATCAATATATTGAGTAACATTAATTTATGCCAGGAATGCTTAAGC